AGAAAATAAACAAATGAAATTTTCCTGCCCGTGTTACAAAATCTGGTAACGCTTTTGGGGTTTCTTTGGATATTTTTGCTTGTTTTTTTTTTTTCTTCTCTCCCCCAAATTTTCCATTTTTCCTCTCGGCGCGGCGGTTATTTGCGATGTAGGTAAATATCCCAAATTTGATTATTTTTTTTTGGGGGGGTGTGTATGTTATTTTTTGCTCGCAGAGTTCTCCCTGCAGCCGGCCCCCGCCGTCACCTACAGGACAATCGGTGGAATTCTGGATTTTTACGTCTTTTTGGGAGACACCCCCGAGCAAGTGGTGCAGGAGTACGTGCAGGTGCGTGGGGGGAGGGGATGGACCCCAACCCCGAGGTGGGGGATGGGGGGGGGGATCCCCCAAACTCACGGAGGCTCAAAGACCCCTCTTGCTCCTCCTGCTTTGGCCAAAACCTTGGAGATTTTGGCCTCTGGTGGCTCCAAAAATCACCCGCTCAATATTTTGGGGTGCTTTTTAAAAAGTTTTCTTTCCTTCCCCTACACTATTTTATTGACCCAAAATTAGTCCAATATTAATCCAAAGTTAGCCTAAAATTAATCCCAAACTAGTCCAAAATGAATTCAGAATTAATCCAGAATGAATCCAAAAGTAGTCCAAAATTGGTCCAAAGTTAGTTTAAAATGAGTCCAAAATTAATCCAAAATGAGTCCAAAATTAATCCAGAATTAGTCCAAAATTAATCCAGAATTAGTCCAAAATTAATCCAGAATTAGTCCAAAATTGGCCCTAAGTTAGTTTAAAATGAGTCCAAAATTAGTCCAAAATTAATCGAAAATTAGTCTGAAATTAATCCAAAGTTAGTCCAAAATTAATCCGAACTTGATCCAAAGTTAGTCCAAAGTTAATCCAAAATCAATAAAAAGCTAATTCATATTGGTCCAAAGTGCATCCAAAGTTAGTCCAAAGTCAGTCCAAAATTAATCCAAAATTGATCCAAAGTTAGTCAAAAACTACTCCAAGGTTAATCTAAAGTTAGCCCAAAGTTAGCCCAAAATTAGTCCAAAATTAATGCAAAGATAGTTCAAAAATTAATCCAAAATTGATCCAAAGTTAGCCCAAAACTAGTCCAAAGTTAATCTAAAGTTAGCCCAAAAATAATCCAAAATTAATCCAAAGTTTCCCTTTTAGTTGGAATTTTGGGGACCAAACGTGTTTCGATGCTGTCTTAAAAAAAAGGAGATCAGAAATTTAAAACAGCATGAAATTTACCTCTTTCAGTACCTTAAATCTTAATTTTAAACTAAAAACTTTACCTTCCATTCCAATTTTCATGCTGTTTCCCCTCATTTTGATCAATACACATTTTTTTTAGGTTAATTCTGTTTTTGTGATTTTGCCTCTTCCTGGTAACTCTGCTCTTTGGGTCGGGGGGGTGAAATTACCAAAAAACCATCGTTTAAATAAAGGATAAAATAAATTCTCCGTAAATGAAAATACCTGAAAATGAGACTATAAATAACCTGAGAAAAAGATAATAAAATAAATAAAATAAATAGAAGATAATAAAATTAAATAGAAGAATTTGCCCTATTTTGAGGTGAGAAAGTAAATAAATGGGAGCGCTGGGAGAAAAAGGAAGGAGGGGGCAATTTTTTACAATAATCATGTAATTTAAAAAATTTTAAAATTTAAAAATTTATCTATAAAATTAGGTCATTTATACGGATTTTTCAAATATTCAAATAAGTAAAGCCATAGAAAAATCCCTATATAAAAAAATATATAGAAAATGGAAATGCTCTTGAGTTGAAATCTCGGATTCGAGGGGGAATTCTGAAAATTCCAAAGGGGATTCTAAAAAAAAGAAAAAAAAAAGGTTGATATTTTGGTTTGAAACCCCAGTTTATCGGGTTGCCGGTGATGCCTTCCTATTGGTCGCTGGGCTTCCACCTCAGCCGCTACGACTACGGGTCCCTGGAGGAGGTGAAGGCCGTCGTGGAGCGGAACCGCGCCATCGGGCTCCCCTACGTGAGTAAAAAAATGGGGAATTTTCCCCTCCCCCACCCCCCAATTTTTTCAACGACACCCGTTTTTGTTGACCGCACCCAATTGTTTCAAATGGCTTTTGCTCCCGGTTGGTTGATTGGTTTATTTGTTTTTTTCCGGAAGAAATTATTCAATTTTAATATTTCTGGCCAAAAATTAATTAGTTTCCGCTGAAAATTCCTTCATTTGTCAAAAAAATCCCTTCATTTCTGCTGAAAATTCCTTAATTTCAGGCAAAACTTCATACATTTCAGGCAAAAATTCATACATTTCAGCCAAAAATCCATTCGTTTCAGCTGAAAATGCATTTGTTTCAGCCAAAAATGCGTTAGTGGGAATTTTGAAGAAGAATGTTGTTGTTCTTCAACATTCCTCTTGTTTTGGAGGAATTTTGGAGAATTTTCTTCTTCAGAATTCTTCTTCTGGGGTTGAAATTTTGAATCATGTTCTTCAAAATTCTTCTTGTTTTGGCAAAAATGTGAAGAAGAATGTTGTCCTTTTCCAAAATTCTGCTTGTTTGGGAGGAATTTCAAACAGAAGTCTTCTTCAAAATTCTCTTTTGGGGTGAAGTTTTGAAAAATCTTCAAAATTCTTCTCGTTTGGGAGAAATTTTGAAGAACGTTCTTCCAAATTCTTCTCTGGGGGGAATTTTGGAGAAGAGTGTAATTATTCAAAATATTTCTTCTTTTGGGGGAATTCTGGAGAATCTTCCTGTTTTTTGAAATTCTTCTTGTGGGGGGGAAATTTTGAAGAAGGTTCTTCTTTTTCAAAATTGTTTTGTTGGAATTTTGAAGGACGTTCTTCAAAATTTTGAAGGACGTTCTTCAAAATTCTTCTTCCTTCGGGGGAATTTTCAAGAGGACTGTTCTCCTCCTTCAAAATTCTTCTTCTTTTGGTGAAATTTTGAAGAAGGGTGTTGTTCTTTTTCAAAATTCTGCCTGTTTCGGAGGATTTTTGAACCAAAATCATGTTCTTTTTCACCAGGACGTGCAACACACCGACATCGACTACATGGAGGCCAAGAAGGACTTCACCTACGACAAAGAGAAGTTCAAGGATCTCCCCGGGTTCCGGGCCTACATGAACGAGAAAGGGCAAAAATACATCATCATCCTGGTCAGCCTTTTGCTGGTTTTCTCCCCATTTTAAATAGTGTCCCTATCAATAAATATACATTAATAAATAGATATTTAAAATATATAGATTTTAATATCGATGTTGTTACGAGAGAGACTTGTTCCTCTGGAGCTGCTGGGGGGTGGAGGGAACGGTTATATAGAAAATATATATAAAAAATATATTATATATACATTCTAAATGCCTTTTTATAGTTTGCAGCTATTATTATTTATTATTATTATTATTTTGTTACATGAGGCACCTTTCCTTGTGTGTCCTGGGCTCTCCACAATGGGTGGAAAGAACCAATAATTGGTGGTGAGAACAGCTGTAGATAAAAAAATATTTAATATAAAATATATATTTTATATATTTTTTAGATCTATTTATATATTTGTTTATTTTTATATATATATTTTTCTATATTTTGTTCCATGTCTTTCTCTGTAGCTGCCGGGCTCTCCCTACTCAGTGGAGAGAACCATTAGATACACATAGAAATACTTTATTTGTTTGTTTATTTATTTATTTAAATTTACTTTTTTCTTTACTTTTATTCTTTCCTTTTTCGTTTATTTTTGTTTTACTTTTTACTTTACTTTTTTCTTTACTTTTTCCTTTATTTTTGTTCTTTACCTTTTCCTTACTTTTATTTTCTTTTTCCTTTACTTTTTCT